TTCTGATGAGAGTTTAAAGTGATTCGCCAATGGAGTGCTCACTGGTTTTGCGTTGCTGATCGCAAACCTTTCTAGTATTTTCTCAACATAACCCCGTTGAGATAGCCACAGTTTCCTTGAGTCTCTGTCCTTGCAAATTTTCATTCAAAGAATTTTCTTTGTAGCACCTAAATCTTTCATATCAAATTCTTGACTCAATAAAGTTTTCAAACCGATAACATCATCCATGTTCTTCGCAGCAATTAACATATCATCAACATACAATAACAGAAAAATAAAAGAACCATCATCAAGGCTCTTAAAATAGACACAACAATCATACTCACATCGGTTATAGCTAATCTTGATCGTATAGGAGTCAAACCGTTTATACCACTGTCTCGGAGACTATTTCAACCCGTATAAAGATTTCTTCAATCTGTAAACTAAATGCCTGTTTTCAGGTTGAGTAAAACCTTCAGGCTACCGCATGTAGATCTGCTCCTCTAAATCACCATGCAAAAAAGCAGTTTTAACATCCATCTACTCTAAATGCAAATCCTAACTAGCCACCAATGCAAGTACTGCTTGGATTGAAGTGTGTCTGACCACATGAGAAAAAATTTCATCATAATCAACTCATTTCTACTGTGATTGCTACCAAACGAGCCTTAAACTTCTCCCCCTCTTTTTCTGTTACTGCTAGTTTCTTCTTATAGACCCATTTGCAACCAATCAGCTTCTTACCCTCAGGAAGGTGAACCAATTCCCATGTACGATTGTGATTCAAAGACTCCATCTCCTCAACCATGGCAGTCATCCACTTGTCGTTTTCCTGCTAGTAACGGCATCATGAAAAGTAATCGGATCATCACTGTTAACAGTAAGTGCAAAAGAGACCAATTCTTCAAAACCCAATCTGTTCGGGGGCTTTATATTCGTCTGTCTCACCCTGTCTCTGGCGAGACAATAATCATGCAAATCATCCGTAGCGGAACCACCAGAAGTCGGTTGAGAAGTTTCTGGTTTCTCAATTGGAAACTGCTCGAAATCCACCACTGTCGTGTCTTTCTTCTGCTGTAACATGGACTGTTCATAAAAAGTAACATCTCTACTAATCACAATTTTCTTCGCAACTGGATCCCAAAAATTGAATCCTTTGACACCTTTCTTGTAACCAAAAAAAATGCACTCATTCGATTTTGCATCAGGTTTTGATCTCTCATCAGCAGGTACATGCACATAAGCATGACAACCAAAAATCCGTAAGTGATCAAAACTAACATCATGACCAGTCCATATCAATTCTGTAACTTTCCCAGCCAATGATTCCCTTAGCGATCTGTTTATAAGATAACACACCATGTTAACAGCCTCAGCCCACAAGTGTTTGGGAAACCTCGTGTTCAACCGCAAACATTTGGCTCTTTTATTCAACGACATATTCATCCGTTCCTCAACACATTCTGTTGTGGTGTCTTGCGCACTGTAAAATGCCTCTTGATCCCATGCTCCTTACAGAAGTTTAGAAACTGTGAATCTGTGTACTCCATACCATTGTCAGATCGCAAAAACTTGATTTTTCTTCCTGTTTGGTTTTCTACCTCATCTTTTCACAGCTTGAACTTCTCAAAAACATCATACTTCTGTTTCAAAAATTACACCCAAACTTTCCTTTAAAAATCATCAATAAAGGTAACATAATACCGAGATCCACCCAAAGACGATGTCGTGGAAGGCCCCCATACATCATAATGCACATAATCAAGAATCCCTTCAGTTGTGTGCTTCGCGGTCTTGAAACGAACTTTAGTCTGTTTACCAAGAACACAATACTTGCAAAAGTCGAGCTTACAGGTAACAGATTTCTTTTATGTAACTCAGCCATACTACGTTCACTAAGATAAGAAAGACGTATATGCCACAGTTTGGTAGTATCATCACAGGACTCAATCGAATGAACTCCACCTACAACGGTACTCCCTAACAATCTGTAAATATTCCCTGCACTCATCTTTCCTTTCATCACAGTCAAAGCTCCTTTAACAATCCGAATGGTTTCCCTATCATCATCAGCCTTAGGGATAAAACCATTCTTGTGCAAAGTCCCCAAAGAAATCAAATTCTTCTTCAAATCTGGGATATGTCGAAAACCACTCAACGTCCGAACAGAGCCATCATACATCTTAATTCTGACCTAACCAATACCAACATTATTGCAACATCGATTATCGCCCAAATAAACAGAACCAGAATTAACCGACCTGTATGTCAAAAACCATTCCCTATTTGGCGTGATGTGATAAGAACATCCAAAATCAAGAATCCAAACATCCGTCAATTGAGTCGTTGAAATAGAGAGCATATCACCCTCGCTGTAATCAGAATTATCATCCTCGACCACATTCACAGACTTGGATGAGTCATCACGCTTCTCATCAGTCTGCTTTTTTAACTTCGGACAGGCTCGCTTCATATGTCCTGCCTCCTTGCACTTGTAATAGTGAATTGTCTTCTTGTCCCTAGATTTGGATCTGGAATTCCGCTTCCCAGACCTTGTCTTCTCTGGCTTCTGTCCATGATCTCGTTTACCCTTGACATATAAGCTATCGGCTTGAGAGCTTTCCCTTGCATTCTGCTTCTGTTGGTTGTGAGCCAACAAGGCTGCAGTAATCTCCTCAACGTTGATAGTCTCTTTCCCATATGTAAGAGTAGTCACCATGTGTTCGTTATGTGTTCGTAAGAGGGAGGTAACGAACACGACAGAATCTTCACTCCGCTCCATTCCCTGTCCTCTTTACCGGTATATTTATGAGCCATACCTAACATGTATAACTTCATTATTGTCCATTTCCACTTTTAGCTTACAAATGCCTCGGTTCCTGACGATTTCAAGACCATCCAGAACACTCCAGAGCTTAGCGTGGAGGACGGGGCATTGGCCAATGTTCCTGCAATATCCATCTACCCATTCTTTATTGGTATCCCAGAGAGCTTTTCCGCTAGCAGCCTTCATCGTTGTTGGTTGTATGGCACCATTGGTGTTGAGCTTAAAGGCTCCATTGGCAGGAGGTTTCCACTGCTGGTTTCGAATTATCTTGGCCTGGGAGGCGGTACTAGACTGGCTGGATTTAATACAACCTGCCAGGCCATAGCCTCATGAATAATGTTAAGATAGGACCCATGGGACACATTTTTACTCTATGTGACCCAAAAAAATGTTATTTATCTAAAAAAATGTTATTTAGCTTTAATTTTTGCAATTAAATTAAAAATAGGTATTGTTCCCGTACATTAATCTAATATTTATGTTTTCTTGAAAAATATTAAATTTAAAAATAAGTTTATAAAAAAAATTCAAAGCGGATAATATAGGATATGCCTATTTGTCATCATTTTAACGTTCATTTCATCCATTAAACACACAACTAGAATAATGCAAGACACGATGAAGAATATTATTGGATTGATTCATGTTTTGAACTTTAGAAGATGTGAGCATGAGAATGAAGGGCCCCATCCCCTTTATTTGTGGAGGGTGGCTCCTAAACAAATGATAAGTATACAAAGGATCAAGTTTTATTTAATTGAAATATTAATCTAATTATATATTGGGTAAACTATATGTTTAGTACCTAAATTATTACTTTTATTCCATTTTGATATATAAACTTTAATTTTTTTAAACATACCTAACATTTAGTTTAAGTTCCATTTTAGTACATTGTCATTTAAAACTTAACAGTAATGTTGAAGTGTCATCATAAGGTAATATTATGTCATCATTAAAAAATAAAGAAATACCACATCAATAGTTTTGTTGAGGTTTTATTGGCATGTACCAAAATGAAACTTAAACTAATCATTAGGTATGATTTTGGAAAAAAAATAAAACTAGATATCAAAATGAAATCAAAGTGATAATTTAGGTACTAAACATATAATTTACCCTTATATTTTTATAATTGTTATTTAAAAAATCATTATTTGTTTTTTTATAGGACCGACCTAAAACAAAACAAAACAAAATCCATACTTGAATAAACTCAAACCAAATTTAATTAAACATATAGATTATTCGACGTGTATATATATATATATTATTACAAAAGGAGTGAAAACAGTAAACTAGCTAAGCAATGGCTATGTCCAAATCATCCTACAAAATTGATTTAACTTTAACAGGAGTATTGAACCGATTCCGACCAAAGGTAAGCGTCCATGAAAACTTCACCATAGCGTCCGCAACCTTAAATATATTAAATCATTCTCTTTCTTTTGTTTTACCTCTTCAATCTCAAGAGAAGAGCCATCAATCTCTCTAATCGCCCTCTTCTTCCCACCGTTACTAATTTTAGCCCCACGGTAACTACTCTTTATTTTACTTATTCAATTGGTGGCCTTCCCATTTACTGTTTTTGCATTTACCATGCAGCCTTGTCAACTGAGTTTGAAAAGGGAGACTGCAGATAAGCTGCCCACGGTGTTATTTGATGATGAGTTGAGCACAAGGGATACGCTGTAAGTTTTCATATTTATCTGGGTTCCCCCGGGGGGCGAAGTTTTCAATGCAAAAAGACCCGACCCGGTTGACCCGATCCGTCGACCCGAATCTAAAAAATCGGTATTTAAAAAAAAGACCCGACATTTTCCGGGTCGGGATCAGATCACAAAATTGAATTTTTCCAGGTACCTGATTAGCTGGGTACCCGGTTAAGGATTTTTTTATATATAAAATAATATTATATTATTATATATTTAATTATTAATAATATAGTATTATATATTTTATATATATAATATTATTATATTATTAATTATTAATAATATTCTATTTTTATATATTTAATTTTTAATAATATTATATATACATTTAATTTTATTTTTTTAATTAATAATTTGAAAATAAAAAAAATTGGGTATCTAGGTACTCGAAATATAGGTATTCACATCATCCCGGTCGGGACACGGGCCGAGAAATCAATTACCCAGATTTGCACACCAGGTTTTCATATTTATCATTTTTTTAGTTCAATTATTCCCCAAGTCCCTGTACTCTTCCGACTTTTGAATTGAGAACACATATTCAAGTTCACTGGAAATCAATTAACAGTGTTATCCATTGGTCTTCTATTTTTAAGTTAGACAAGAAGAGAGACAAAAATCCTGGAATTATAATCTAAGATACTTGATGTTAAAAGTCTAAAGGTGCAAGAACTGGGGGCATAATTAGACCACCACTTTCTGTTTTTTTTATATCAGTTTGAGGGTGTTTGCATTACTGTTGATCTTGGTTTTCTGTTATAGATAATTTTATCAGAAACAAATCACAGACAAAGGTAAGGGGCTGATAGGGTCCTTGTCCCCTTCTAAAAAATGGAAATAAAATGTTATTTTAGTCCACTTTAAAATTTTAAGTTTAGATAATGATAAAATTGTATTATGATTTCCCATAAATGATAAAATTTTAATTTAATTATTTTAAAATTATAAAACTATAAAGTAAATCAACGGTAAAATTGTTTTTAATCATTGAGAGAGAAAAATTAATTTACCCCTGACCTCAAAAAATCTTGACTCTGTCAGTGTAACTAAAAGACATTAACCCATCAATGGCCTAAATAGTAACTATTAAAAAAATTCTAAATAGATATTCCAAAAATATTAAAAAAAGATAAAATACATTAGGTTGAATTTCTGTTGTCTAACAATCCAATATGCCCTACACCATGTGCTTTTGACCATATATATCTAAAATTGGTAAAAGATGATTGTATGGAAATTTGAGCATCAACAAAGTGGGTGGCCATCTCAGAAAAGGCATAGATGAGGACTTAATTTCCAGAATCTAATGCTTTTCATTTTTAATTAACCATAAACTACGGAGAAATTAACAAATGAATAAGGGCCATCCATGTCAAAGTACAGAATCAATCCCATGCTGAATTCCTTTTTCAAATACAAGTATATAATTCCTGGTATTTTTTTGTGAATGATTAGTAGTAAATTGTATTGCTTTTGTACTAAATGAATGCACACCTTTTTGGTAAAAATATATAAATAGATGCAGCGTCTGCTTAAGTGAATTTGAGGTGAAAGAGGAATTGCTGCTACTCCCATCGTGTTTCACATTGAATGCATGCATGGTTGGCTACGTTCCGACTCTACTTGTCCGCTTTGTAGAGGTTGTGTTTCCCTTACCATCACCACCACTCCAACTGAATCTGCCGTCTTAGCCCCTTTCTCTTGTTTATTCACATCAACTATAAGTTTATTTTATTCTTCCATCAATTATACGTTTAAATAGTTGGAAAATAACAACTCGTCCCAATGGGAATGTTATCCTCCTTAGAGGTCATGAGTTCAAACAGTTGTGTCTACATGTGTGTGGGTGTGTGCGTTGTTAATAACTAAATTTTTTTTGAATATATGTTATCTTATAATCATCATAGACTATAAAAAAACATTGGAGAATAGAAGAATATTATGACACTTGTGACTAGAAAGTAAAAATGTTTGTAGATGTGAACAGGGGCGGAGCCATAATTAATTATTGACAGGAGCCAAAATCAAATCATCGCCTGAACCAAAATAAATTTTTATCTAACATAATTCTTCTTCTTTTTTTAATTTTAAAAAATAATAAATATATGTGTGTATATATATTTGGCTGAATCTAGAACTCAACTAGTATAACTTTTGAACATAATTCATTAGAGTATATTTATTAGGTTAACTACACTGACTATCACTTTTCCTTCTTGGCATATCTTACTTTGGTCAATGATTTGGTCATCTACATTATACATTATTGATTTATTATATTTTGGTCGTTGGTCATAAAATAAATGTATATGTCAATTTAGTTAAAAATAATAATTTATTTGAAATTTTATAAAATAAATAGAGCATGCATGATACCTAGCGATTGCTAAGTTGATGCTACCAATCAAGATGTTCTCTATCAAATATCAATCGTGCATCTTGAGAGAACAAATTACCTACCCAACACATAGATAAAAAGAGTTCAAACCAACAAAAACAATGAAAGAAATCAAATATATCTATCAAGTATCAACCAATGTTAGGGTAGGAGCTACTAAACTTGGTGTGTTTCTAAAATGATTGGACAAACAAATTCAAAACACAAACACATTCACAGGCCAAGTCATAATATTCATAGTCTGAATGAAATGCAAATATAAATCCACTCATATGTCTTATACCGCACAAAAATTAGGTTCCCAAAATCATTCTCTACTAACATCTCCGAAGTGAGGTCCGTCAAAAAAGCAAAATACCACTAAATCTGAAGTGAAATTCACTCTGTGTAAATACACTGAACTTTCCCTGTCAATCTCAGTCCAATATGACATAACATAATTTTTATTTTCGAATTTCAATACAATTATAAAAAAAATTACATAATTTTAAAATTCGAATACATAGCATAAGATTAAAACCGATAAAGAACGTGTCACATAACATACTTATATGAATTGTATTTAATAATACAATAACACGGAACAATCATGCTTCAATTCAAACAATTAACTAGTAATGATCGTAATGACTTCCACGGTCAGCTCAAACAGTGAATCAACCAGAATCAATTCCTACTAATTAATTTAATACATGAATTAATATAATAAATAATATCATCGACATTAAAAAGAACGTTGACTGAAACTCAAGGTCAATTCGAATAACCTAGTCGATTCAAAATTTACAAGGATCGAGGAGGACAGTAACTCAATTCTCGATTTGATTTCTCTTACAAAAATCGTATGTCCGAATTAGAATCCCAAAAATACAAATTCCCAGGCTAAGAATAATTTAACGACGACAATTTAAAATTTTCCTATTCGAATTGGGGAACCAGCAGTGGGGTTTGGTTCAAATATGAGGGCTGCAAGATCGGGTGAAATGGAACAGCCGGAGATGGAGCTACACCGACAGCAGTCCCAAGGGCCAGCGACCTCACGGCCGGCTTCTCCGTGGAAATGGTCGGAAAAAGTAAAAATAAAACCGATAGTGGCCGTAGGAGCTCCCACGGTGAAACCAGGGCCTGCCCGGCTGCGAACCAGGCCGGTTAGGCCTTCTCCACGCGACGCACGACCATTTAACGGCCACAACGACCACGAACGGGCCACACAGCGACTGTGCGATGAGTTTTACTGCAGTGGTTCCCGATTCCTTGAGGGGTCGTCGTTATTCGAGTGGCCACGCAAGGGAAAAGACTCAATAAAGACTCACCGACGGCAAAGCCTCAACGATCAGAGATTATTGAAAGATGGAGAGGCAGAGGAAGCAAATGAAGGGAAGGTGGGGGGGGGGGGACATAGAATACTACCGAGGGGTTTTTAAAGTGGGATTGGGTTAACTAAATTGGTATAATCGCAAAGTTAGTCCTCAAATAGCTTTGGGTTTACAAAATGTGCTACAATTATTTGTTTTTGCAATTTGGTCACGAAAATTAAATTAGGGATTTGGAGGAAAATTCTAAAATTCTAGGATTTCTAATTGAGAATTATTTAGGGTGTTACAATAGTCCAAATTAAAAAACTATTTCTTTAAAGAAAATGCAGTCATATTTATAATGCACTCTTATTTTCTAAAAAAATTAATAGGTGAATAGATTGTATATTCAAAGATTTAAATCTCGAATTTACTAAACATCATCAAAACTAACTATGCTAACAGCTAAATCTCAGTCTCTCATATTCACGAAAAAAAATCTTGACAAATTTGTCTATTCTACTCAAATACTACATAAAAAGCCATAAATGAAATGGTGTTATTGCAACCAAAAAAAAATTAATGGGACTGTAACCGATGACGTTACCACCAAAAACAAAATATGACACTATTCAAAATACTTGCTTTACACTTACTGAATCCTCCTACAAAATTTCATTTGCATTTTCTTTTAAAAAGTATTGTTTTAAAAATATAAAAATTAATAGAACAGAAAATCATATATATAAACTAAATAATACATTACAATTTACAAGTACAAAAATTTGCTCACCCTTCAACTCATACTCATAGCGTAGACAATTCATTCAAAGCCTCTCTCAACTTTTGCATTATTTTAAAACTTTTTTCAAAAATATACATCGCATTAAGTGTAAATTCAAGCTAACTCCATTTCTTCTTAATATCTATAATACAATCAACAAAAATAACCATTTTTATCTTCTCAATATCACCCCAATATTTTTCATATTTATCTTTCATCCTCATGGCCATAACACTAAAGTCAAACATCATCATTTAATTGAACATCTCGCAAAAATATATTAATTTTAGTAAGTTCATCATACAAATTGTTAGATATAACATATGAAGTGCCTGCAACTCACAAAAGGACTTCATCAAAGTGTACTCAAAAATAGTTGGTCAGTCCTCTCTTAACTGAAGTTCAACTTTAAAATTGTATTTTGGTCCTTAAATCTCTCAAAAACTCTCTCAGAATTCTGAACAGTGTCTAACTTAAAATAAGTTGAGTTTCACCTAGTACAAACATCAAGACATAACATATTTTTGCTCTCAATATTTTTCATTTCAACAAACTTCATGAATTTTTTTTAATCTAACTAGAGATTGTCTCATATATTTCACAGCTCCTACAACACGTGCAACATGTTTATAATACGTGCAATGCATCTTATATGAAGGTATTTATCATTTGCAATGCAACCATTTGAGAACTAAATTTTTTTCTTAAATAAGTAATAGTAACATCATTTGAAGTTGCATTGTCAACTGTAATAGTGAATAACTTATCAATCTCTCAATCCAATCAGTATTTCTCAATCATCATTCCAATAGCATCTTTCTTATGACTAAAAATTAAATAAAATTTTATAATTTTTTATTTAATTTTTTATCACTATTATTAAAATGTACAATGAGACACGATAATTAACTCTTTGAATAGTGGTCTATGTATTGGTAGTTGAATAAATTTTAGAACATGTACTTTTTCAAATACAGTTTCAGCTTAACTCTCTTATCTAAGTACAAATAATAAATATCTCTAGTTATAGTCAATATTGAATGAATACGAAACTTGGAACATGCTATAGACATAAATTTCTTAAATCCTTCATTTTCAACAAACTTGAAATGAATTCACCAATCACAATCATTTGGACTAAAAATTTTTTAATTGCTTCTTGATCAGTGAGATGTCCCACTTTTTCTTCAAGACCCTTATTTGATAATATTAAATTACTTTAATGAGTGTGAACAGTATTTTTAGGATTTTTCTTACATTGCATTATGTGATACATTAATGATCCAATTTCATTTTTTTTTCATTGCAACAAAGTTCTTTGTCACAATAATTGCATCTATTCTTACTTTAACCCTTACCATTAACAAACTTAGTAAAAGAGACTGTACTTCTAACCTTAAAGTAATGACTTTCCGTTTAATTGTAATCGTTTTTGTGTTTTTTATTTTACTTGATGCTTCATCCGTTGAATTTGTAGAATTTGTTAAAGGGTGAAACACTGCTCTTAACAGATGCTATTATATTGGACATTTACACCAAAATAAATTTGATAAATATTATTAAAAAATAAATTAATTAAATTGCATAACTTCTTTATAAATCAGAATGTACTCATCAAAATAATAAATTAACCTCCTAAATAATGAACCAGAATGCAATAAATTATAAATGTTGACTAGAAAAAATAATTATTAATCATATCATTAATTTGCTTTAAAATCTACACTAATAATCCAAACACAAATACTGTCAGAATATGACTTTTCATAAATTATTACAATATGTTTGACCATTCACCACACGATTCTTTTGCAAAAGCTAAATGATTATTAATCATAAATTTCCATTTAAATCAATAGTAATCTATCATTAATTTGTTTTAAAATCAAACAGGTTAATCTTGAACAGTAATTTCAAGATTAGTCGTTAAATATTCCATTGTGAGATGGGATAATCTGTCAAGAACTCTACTTCTTTACAACACATTATTATTGTTTGTTTTTCAGCTTAACATAATATAGTATATTTATATTTTATATATATTTTATTAAAATTAATATAAATTTTATTAAGTTTAATTATGTTATTAATTATCATATAAGTCAATACAGAGATTAAAATTAACTAAGTCTTTGTATTTTAAAAAGTTTATTATTATATTGTATGATCAAAAATTAAAATTTTAACAATTAATATGTCTAAGATTGAAATGAACTAAAATAAAATAAAATAACATAATTTATAATTTATGCATAATATTAAAAATAATTATGTTATCTACTTGTAACACCCTAATCTAATCCGACCCGAAGATCCATGGATTACGATGTCACACGAAACCATCAAAATGATTAACCCGAACTTTCTTTTTAAACCATTTATAAAACATCAAAAATATCATTCATCATAATGTAAATAAAGATTCATGATTCAAGTTTACAAAATACGAGAGTCTCCCGAATAGTACAAATACTTTCATTGAGTTTATAAACAAAAAATAAAGTTATGACTCGAGTAATTACAAGGTCCACATAAATATGTGCCCTCTAACAGACTCAATACATACTTTAAAACAACTGATCTGGAATGTATCGGTACAGTAGCGTCCTCGTCGATCCTCTAATGACCTACGCACAAAACACATTCCATACGCTGAGCTCACAAGCTCAATGCCATGTTAATAACTATGCAATACAACATGCATTCATTACATGAACATGACGTTGCATAAAGTCATATTATGCAAAAATACATCAACAAACATGAGATAAGTCCAGCGATGCGGTCGGACGAATTTTAAGTCCATCTCGGACAACACACTAGCCTATCTTGAAATAGAGTAGTCTCTGGGTAAGAACCAAAATTTTACGTGTATCGAAACTTATCTCCCTTGTTTATCCTGCCTACTCAAGAGTTTTGGGGTACGGATAGGAATTTTACGTGCATCAGAAGCTCACATCCCGAACCACAACGACTCCCGAGTAAGAGATACGATCCAAAATTTTACGTGCATCGGATGTGTACCTAATCAAACAGTATCCGGATATTTCGTATAGAGGACGATCATCATAAAACTAGAGTAACTCGGGAGTCCTGGCCGTTTCCTGAGTGACATACAATGGAAATTCTTATTTCGTCCTAACTTGCTTAGTTTCTATGTGTGAATTTAGTAATATTGATTATTTCCACTTGTATTCGGGTGTATAAAGTTTATACGACCACAAACTCTAAATTCAAACACTTGATTCATCTAGCAAAAAATTGCCTAAGCCATGACGAGAATATCGATATTGTGCCATTAGTATCGATGATCAGGGTGAGTATTGAGACCAAGAATAGCTTCGATGATTGGAAAATGCCTTTGTATTGATACTCCTATGGGGGTATGGATACTCTACCCTTGGTATCGATACTCCTACGAGTATCGGTACCAAAAAATGGCTACTAGAATCCTAAACTTATTTTCAGTATCGAGACCAGACCACTAGTATCCATACTCCTTGAACGAGTATCCATACTACCCTTACAAAAATCTATTATTTTTACACTTCGAGGAGAACATTATTGGTATTTCTCTTCCAGTACCGATACTGACGACCTGGAGTGCTCTATTTTGGACATGAACTTATATTTCACTCTCACTCATTCACTCCTCAAAGGCTAGAAAATGTTATTAGAGTCTTATTTAGGGCCTTAAGGGTCAAAAAGAGTCATCTTTAATGCTTACAAACATCAAACATAAAATTTACGATTGATTTACTCTAGCATGCTTCATGAGCTACACAATCCATCTATGCACATTAATGACCTACATATGGTATGGACAAGTTAGAAACATGTTACTTTGATGCTTAGTTGTTGGAAACTTCCTTAACTTACCTAAGCACTAGCTTCTCCTTGCCCCTTGCCTAAGAACTCTCTCATTGCTCTTTCACTAAAAAATAATGAAAATGAATTGTTAACTAATTTTGGGTCTCAGGATGAAGCTAAAATTATTTCCTTATAGCTCAAATCTCATAAACTGAGCTAGAACCTAAGGTTCCACAAACCCTTACTAAAACCCATTTTTGGATAGCTAGCCAAAACTTGCAAATGAGAACTTGAAAGGAAGCTTGGAAGATGTGGAGTATGGATTTTACCTTGAAATTCTCAAATGATGCTTGTGCTTCTTAAAGCTTCTAATTTTTCATTGGTTCTTGAGGAAGAAGAATGGAGACGAAGACTGTAGAGAAAGAAAAAAGGTTGAGGTGAAAAAGAGAAGAAGATTCAGACAGTGATATCATCAACAATTAAGGGAAATCAATCTTTGGTTTGAAAAATGGGTTATTTGCTCATTTGGTTCATGATTAAAGACACATTTTATTATGGTTTAATTGGCTCAACACAAGCCTAAACACAAAAATTCTTGGACCAAGACTCCCTTGAAACTAATGGATTTATCTAAAGTCTCTCTCATGTTAGCCCAAAATGCCTAACCCAGGATTCAGGGTGTTACAACTCTCCCTCCTAAGAAGAAATTTCATCCTTGAAATTTACCTAAATAGAAGATGTGAGGATATTGAAGTTGCATATCCTCTTCGATTTCCCAAGTTACTTTCTTTGCACCATGGTTCCTCCAGAAAACTTTCACCAAAGGTATTTTCTTGCTCCTCAATTCCTTGATGCCTTTCGCTAAGATCTTGATCGGATCTTCCTCGTAGGTCATGTATTAACATACCTCGATCTGCTCCAAGGGTATGACATGGAATAGATCGAATTGGTATCTCCTAAACATGGACACATGAAATACGTTATGGATGCGCTCTAGTTCTGAAAGTAAGGTCAATCGATAAACCACTGGACCAACCCTCTCCAATACTTCGTAGGGTCCTATGAAACGTGGAATCAACTTTCCTTTACGTCTGAACCAAAATACCTTTTTCCATGGGGAAACCTTGAGAAATACCATGTCTCCCACTGTGAATTCTTTTTCCTTGCGTTTCAGGTTAGCGTACGATTGAAACGATCTCTGTCGGTCAGAAGCCTCTTTCAATCGTCTCTGAATCAATTGGACTTTATCCTCGATCTCTCATATTAAGTCAGGACCTATGATCTTACTTTCACTGAGCTCCATCCAGCAAAATGGAGTTTTATACTTACACCCATACAGGGATTCATACGAAGCTATCTAGATGCTTGTTTGATAACTGTAGTTGTATGCGAACTCCACCAACAATATGTGATCTTCCCAACTTCCCTCAAGATCCAAGATGGTGCACCTAAGCATTTCTTCCAAAATCTTAATAATACATTCGAATTGTCAATCTATCTAAGGATAAAAGGTGGTGCTAAAGTGCAAGTTAGTACCCTAAGCTTGATGTTGTGTTTTCTAGAATCAAGATCTGAGACGGGGATCTCTGTCAGATATGATCGAGATACAAACTCCAAACAACCTCAATACCTCACAGATGTACAGCTTGTGCTAATCTCTCTAACGGATAGTCCATCCGAATCGGAAGAAAATGGGTGGACTTGGTCAATCCATCCACTATAACCCACACTGCATCATGCTTAAATCTTGTCATCGGTAGACCGATCACAAAATCTATGGTCACTCTTTCCCACTTCTATTGCGGTATTTGAATCGATTGAAGTAAACCCGAAAGAACATGGTGCTCTACCTTAACTTGTTGGCACACTAATCATTTGGCAACAAACTCATATACATCTCTTTTCATGCCTAGCCACCAATAAAATGGTATGAGCTCTTGATACATCTTATTATTACCCAGATTGACTTCAAGGGGGCTACAATATTATTCTTGAAGGATCTTATCACACAATTTCCTAACCACTGGTACACACAACTGACATCTGAAGTATATCATACTTTCATCACGCAACTCATAACCTGGAGCATCTACTCAAAGGACTTGCTCTACTCGAGACTTTAAATGATCATCCAAGCCCTGTAATATCTTAACTTCACCCACTAACTCGGGTTCAACCCATAACTCGGCTAACAAACCACCTGAGTCAGTCATGCTCAAACGCACTAGCTAGGCTCATAACTCTACCACGGTCTTCTTGCTCAATGCATCCGCAACAACATGCTCTTTACCCAGGCGATAGTTGATCACACAGTCATAATTCTTCAACAGTTCTACCCACTTATATTTCCTCAAGTCTAATTATTTCTGAGTGAGTAGGTACTTAAGACTTTTGTGGTCCGTTAAGATATGCCACTTCTCTCCAAACAAGTAGTGCCTCAAAATCTTCAACGCAAAAACTATCGCTGTAAGCTCTAATTCATGGGTGGGGTAGTTTCTTTCATGGGGCTTGAGTTGATGAGATGCATAGGCTACTACCTTTCCCTCTTACATCAAAATGCATCTTAGGCCGTTCAGAGACATATCGCTAAACACGATAAAGTCTTTACCTGGTTCAGGTTAAGTCAAGATGAAAGCTTGGGTAAGTATTGTTTTCAACCGATCAAAACTCTCTTGGCACTTCTCATTCCAAACAAAGGGAACTCCCTTTTGTAGTAACTTGGTTAACGGTGCCGCTATCATCAAGAAGCCCTTAACGAAGCGACGATAATACATTGTGAGTCCCAATAAACTATGTACCTCGGATGTATTCCTAGGTGGCTCCCACTCTAACACTGCTTGGATTTTCTAAGGATCCATACGGATGTCTTCCTCTACTACCACATGACCTAGAAATGCTACCTCTGTTAAGCAAAATTCATACTTCTCAAACTTGGCATAAAGTTTATGCTCTCAAAGTGTCTATAGAATGATACGGAGGTGTCGATCGTGCTCTTCTCTGAACTGGGAGTACACCAGGATATCATGTATGAATACTACTATAAATTGATCTTGATAAGGATAGAAGACCTGATTTATCAAATCCATAAATACCGCCAGGGAACTGGTGAGTCCAAACAGCATCACGAAGAACACGTTACGGCTGTACCTCTTTCAAAAAGTTTTCTTGGATATATTGATATCCTTGACCTTTAATTGATAATACCCTGACCCTAAGTCTATATTGGAAAACACACACGCTCCTTTAAGTTGATCAAAGAGATTATTGATGCGAGGATGAGGATATTGATTCTTTATGGTCAACTTATCCAACTGTCGATAGTCGATACACAACCTCATGGACCCATCCTTCTTCTTAACAAAAAAGAATCGGTGCTCTTCAAGGTGAAACGTTGGGTCAAATGAAACCCCTTTCCAACAACTCTTAGATTTGATTCTTTAGTTCTTTCAACTCTATCGGTGTCATGCGATAGGGGGTAATGGACACCAAAATCAAACTTGGCATCACCTTAATGCTGAACTCGACCTCATGTTAGGGGAAACCCCGATAACTCCCCCAAAAATACATCGGAGAACTCTCACACTATTCAAATATCCCTAAGCATCAAAAAGAAAGCTCGTGTATCCATAAAATAAGTCAGGAAGGCTTTATACCCTTGACATAACAACCTCTAAGCCACAACTATAGAGACTACTTTGGTAGTACAACTTGATCTCTCGATGGTCATCACTACTTTGGTTCCATCATTTCTACGAAGTTTAAGTTGCCTTGCCTTGCACCTCAAACTAGCATCTTGTTCTGACAGCTAGTTCATACCTAATATCACATTAAACTCCTAAAACGGTAACTCCATTAAGTCGACTAGGAATACTTGACCTTGGATCTCTATGGGTCATTGATGATGAACCTTATCAATCAAGACATCTAATCTCAGGATATTGGACACTCAGACCCCTATTTCCAAATCCTCGACTAGAATGTTCTTTTTTCATACTAAATCATAACAAATGTATGAGTGGGTGAAGCCCGGATCTACTAATGCAGTAACAGGAATAGAGAACACTATAAAAAACCTAAAATCATGTGAGGTAACTCTGGGCTCCTGACTGGACTCTGATTTGATGGTACCCCTACTAGACTAACCTGAAATAACTCTGCCACCTCTCATAAACCCTCTACCTCATTGAAT